CATAAATAATATATTTCATAAAAATACTAAACGCAGTATTTTAACCTATCTGAAATATCGTAACGAAACTTCAAAGTTGTTTAGGATTTGACTTTCAGTTGTTGGGATTGGAACAATGGCCGGTTATCAGAACCTTTGTGTGATTCTGAGACTGATCTAAACTCAGTTTCAGAGTCAAACAAATTAAACTAAAACAAATCAAGAACTTAAAAGGAACTGTAGTAGTGCTGAACTATGACTGAACTAAACCAGAACTGAACATGAACTAAGCTAGAACTCAAATAGACTAAACTAAAACAAAACTAGAATAGAACTAAACAAGAACTGGAACTAAACTAGAACTTAACTGGAACTTAAATATAACTGAACTAAAACTAATCATGAACTGATCAAGAACTGAACTAAAACTAATCCAGAACTGAAGAAGGATTGAACTAGAACAACTTAATCAAGAACTTAATTAGAACTGAACTAGAACTGAACTAGAACTTAACTAGAACTGAACTGGAACTAATCCAGAACTTAACTAGGACTGAACTAGAATTGAACTAGAACTGAACTAGGACTGAACTAGAATTGAACTAGAACTGAACTAGAACTGAACAACTGAACTAGAACTGAACTAGAACTGAACTAGAACTGAACTAGAACTGAACTAGAACTGAACTAGAACTGCACTAGAACTGAACTAGAATTGAACTAGAACTGAACTAGAACTGAACTAGAACTGAACTAGAACTGAACTAGAACTGAACTAGAACTGAACTAGAACTGAACTAGAACTGAACTAGAACTGACCTAGAACTGAACTAGAACTGAACTAGAACTGAACTAGAACTGAACTAGAACTTAACTAGAACTGAACTAGAACTGAACTAGAACTGAACTAGAACTGAACTAGAACTGAACTAGAACTGAACTAGAACTGAACTAGAACTTAACTAGAACTGAACTAGAACTGAGCTAGAACTGAACTAGAACTGAACTAGAACTGAACTGGAACTGAACTAGAACTGAACTAGAACTGAACTAGAACTGAACTACATCTGAACTAGATCTGAACTAGATCTGAACTAGAACTGAACTAGATCTGAACTAGAACTGAACTAGAGCTGAACTAGAGCTGAACTAGAACTGAACTAGAGCTGAACTAGAACTGAACTAGAACTAAGCTAGATGCGAACTAGAACTGAACTAGAACTGAACTAGAACTGAACTAAACTAAAACTAAACTAGAAGTGAACTAAACTAGAACTAAACTAGAATTGAACTAGAACTAAACTAGAACTGAACTAGAACTGAACTAAAACTAAACTAGAAATGAACTAGAACTGAACTAGAACTGATCTTGAACTGAACTAGAACTGAACTAGAACTGAACTAGAACTGAATTAGAACTGAACTAGAACTGAACTAGAACTGAGCTAGAACTGAACTAGAACTGAACTAGAATTGAACTAGAACTGAACTAGTACTGAACTAGAACTGAACTAGAACTGAACTAGAACTGAATTAGAACTGAACTAGAACTGAACTAGAACTGAACTAGATCTGAACTAAAACTGATCTAGATCTAAACTAGAACTGAACTAGAACTGTAAAGGGGGAATACCTTCCTATAACTTTTAAACGATTCCATATTTTAACTTATGCATCTTAAGACCCTACAAGGACTCTACAGCTAATGAAATAGGTTATCTCATCCTAACTGAACTACTGCTAAGGTCATCCTTGCATTTAGTTACAACAGATAAATTTATGTTGAAAATATTTTGATTATCTCTCAATAACTGTCAACAGAAAATAGCTTTTATTCTTAACCAATATTTTTCAAACCAAATCTATGGTATAATTTATATATTTTTTTTTTTTTTTCTTTATAAAAATATTCAAACTGAAATTTTGTATGGTATAATTATAATTATACTACATGGTCGGACGTTCGTTCACAAAACATTTGAAACAGGTTTTCTCGGTAAATATTTAAACGACAAAAAAAAAAACGAACTACAAAATTGAAGCAGGTGTTTTGTTCAAAATGTTGAATCGTACACCGGACTAATAACAATGTGGCTGAAGGAATTGTATATTTTGGTTCACATCTTTATATTTTTTTTTGTTTATATTTTTATAGGGTGTTGATGCAACTTAAATGTTCTTGTTTGTGTGTGTTTTTTAATATATATATTTTATATTTTGGCTTCTTTTTTTGTGATATTTCCTATGCGATCTGAATATTTTTTCTCACTTCCTCTGTTAGAGGAATTTGAAGTTTTTTTTTTTCCTTTTGTAAATAAGTATTTTTGTGTTTTTCCTCTATTTGTGTCTGTCTGTCCAAGTGTTGGCTTTTTTTATTAGACGATCGTCTATAGACTCTATATGTTGAGAGCCTGTTAATGACCATTATTTATAATTTCATTATTACGTTTATGGTTTTTTATGTATTTTAACTTTTTTCACTTACTTTTGCTTAATGGATTTCCTTTAGTTTTTCTTTACACATTTTTTCTAAATTGATTTTTATCATTTTATAAAGAAATTCCCACGCCATTCAAATGTTGTTTTTTCTGTTTATTTAAATGCAGAATGATTAATGTTTTCCTAAGGTCATATTTAAAAAATTAACATACGGATTAACATAATTTAAAGTGATAAGATCGTTGGCATACAGAGAAGAATAACTTGTTGGTCAAATTTCATTTAGATAAGAATTTAAAAGAAAAATAGAACCAGTTAAAAATGATTGTCTTATTAGACTCAGAGGAATCGTTTTAAGAAAGAAAAAACTCTAAACACTTGCAAGTTATACAACCCTCACAGAATGGCTTCTTTCTATTCTCTGGATATATATTTTGATTTCTTATCAATTCTCCAAAGACAATGAACTTTTTTCCAAAACAAACTAATGCATTTTAGTTTATTTTTAAATGAATAAAAGGAAGTCCTCATATTTATATTTATTTTTTTTCTAAATGAGCACGTTTCAATATTTGTAGCACCGTGCCTGTAATGTGCATTTATCCATTAAATCCAGCTGATGACAGCTACATCCAATGAATAATATCACAGAATATAACAAATTTTTTTCATTTCTAATCGAGAAAGCGAGAGGGGGGGTTCTACAAAAACTTATCAAGTTTCTAAAATTTGACTTTTCCATATTGTTCCAACATATGACGATACTTACACATAACCAAAACAAAAAAAAACACCTTTTGTCTTTAAGTACTTTAAGAATTAAAGAAAAAGTCAGATTTCAAAAGTTTATGATAAAAATTCCTTAACATATTAGTACAGTATTGGATATATAAAACCACTAATTACCAAAGGTCCCCCAATACAAGAAATTGTTTAGAAAAAACACACGAAATCTTTAAAGTACGTGCATATGAGGGGATTTACAGCAAATCAACAATAATTCCCCCAAAAAAAAAAAACTAAGTACTTTGTGTGCAATATACGAATAATACAAATGGGAAGGTTCTCTATACAAAGACGTTGCATTTCACAATACAGAATAACAATTCTGCTCACAGTTTAAGTATTAAGTATTTAACTGAACTAGAACTAAAACTGAACTAAAACTGACCTCGAACTGAACTAAAACTGAACTAAACTGAAATAGAACTGAACTAGAACTGAACCAGAGCTAAACTTGAACTGAACTAGAACTAGAACTGAACTAGAACTGAACTAGAACCTGAACTAGAACTGAACAGAACTGAACTAGAACTGAACTAGAACTGAACTAGAACTGAACTAGAACTGAACTAGAAACTGAACTAGAACTAAACTGAACTGAACTAAAACTGAACTAGAACTGAACTAGAAACTGAAACTAGAACTGAACTAGAACTGAACTAGAACTGAACTAGAACTGAACTAGAACTGAACTAGAACTGAACTAGAACTGAACTAGAACTGAACTAGAACTGAACTAGAACTGAACTAGAACTGAACTAGAACTGAACTAGAACTGAACTAGAACTGACTAGAACTGAACTAGAACTGAACTAGAACTGGAACAGAACTGAACTAACTGAACTAGAACTGACTAGAACTGAACTAGAACTGAACTAGAACTGAACTAGAACTGAACTAGAACTGAACTAGAACTGAACTAGAACTGAACTAGAACTGAACTAGAACTGAACTAGAACTGAACTAGAACTGAACTAGAACTGAACTAGAACTGAACTAGAACTGAACTAGAACTGAACTAGAACTGAACTAGAACTGAACTAGAACTGAAATAGAACTGAACTAGAACTGAACTAGAACTGAACTAGAACTGAACTAAAACTGAACTAGAACTGAACTAGAACTGAACTAGAACTGAACTAGAACTGAACTAGAACTGAACTAGAACTGAACTAGAACTGAACTAGAACTGAACTAGAACTGAACTAGAACTGAACTAGAACTGAACTAGAACTGAACTAGAACTGAACTAGAACTGAACTAGAACTGAACTAGAACTGAACTAGAACTGAACTAGAACTGAACTAGAACTGAACTAGAACTGAACTAGAACTGAACTAGAACTGAACTAGAACTGAACTAGAACTGAACTAGAACTAGAACTAGAACTGAACTAGAACAGAACTAGAACAGAACTAGAACAGAACTAGAACAGAACTAGAACAGAACTAGAACAGAACTAGAACAGAACTAGAACAGAACTAGAACAGAACTAGAACAGAACTAGAACAGAACTAGAACAGAACTAGAACAGAACTAGAACAGAACTAGAACAGAACTAGAACAGAACTAGAACAGAACTAGAACAGAACTAGAACAGAACTAGAACAGAACTAGAACAGAACTAGAACAGAACTAGAACAGAACTAGAACAGAACTAGAACAGAACTAGAACTGAACTAGAACTGAACTAGAACTGAACTTGAACTGAACTAGAACTGAACTACCAGCTTAAAATTTTATAAAAGTGTTGTATTAAGGAAGATTTCCAATTAAAATTACCTTCACCTGGTAACTTT